CTGGATCTAACCTTGTCTGGAAATAGGCATCGCTTAGGTCAATCTTGCTTCGGAATCTAGCCCGTCCAACTGCATTTAGGATTTGTATTTGGTTTGGGATAGCAGAACTGTCCATAACCGTGTTTTCATTCCGTAGTTTGAGGTCAACCAGGGGGCGGATTCTTTTGCCATCTGCTTTGGGTTGGACAAACAAAGGGACGGCACCTGGGGCTTCTGTTCGGTAGATGACTCCTCTTCTTTGTTGTTGGTTGATCCAATCACAAAGTGGACCTTTGTATGCATTAGGGATAGAGTAGGTGGGTTGGTTCTTGAGATTAGAAGGGTCTCGGAGGTGAATGTGGTAGTTCACCTCTCTCATAGGTGGTAGTTCTTCGGGTATTTGATCAGGAAAAACATCAGAGTATTCATCCAATAGTCGTTGGGCAGTTGCTTCACAGACTGTGGCTCGGTATTCTCCGCTTGTTGGCTTGTATGAGACTCTGACCTTCTAATCTGGGAAATCGATGGTTGATTCCCCACACCTGATTTTAGCTTTGTGGCGGTTCAGGAACGGCATTCCTATGAGGGCATCATATTTGGCTAGATTTCCAACCAGCATTTCCTGGGGGGGTAGGACGGTAGAACCTAGTTGAATAGTAGTACTACAGGTTTTATGGCTTGTGAACTGTGACCCTTTTACTGCCATAGTTACTGGTATGAGTTAGTTAAGGTCTCGAGTTGGAAGTCCATGGACAGAGACAAAGGCATTGCTGATCATGTCTCTTCCGATTATGCCAGTATCGAATAGGACTCGAGCCTTCTTGCTATTGATCAGGATAGTACCTTTCAGGATGGTGTGTGCTTTAAATGTAGTCAGAGGTCGGACACTGTTGCACTCCATATCGATATATCCGATATGATCTCCTCATATCCACTGGATTGGGCATCATCACTATTGCTCTCAACATTGTTGGCCGATACTTCTTACTTAATTGCCTTTCCTTTCCCCTTCTTCGTAGAGCAGTTCTTTGCCATGTGTCCTGTTTTTTCACATTCAAAACATTCTCCTTTCTGCCGTCTTGATTCTTTGGAGTATTTTGTTTTCTTCTTGAAAACCCGTGGGGTATCGTCTTCAGAGTTGCTGGAGAGTTTGTGTCATGGTTGGCTGTTCCTGCTAGAGGGTGTTTGTGTCTTGTATGCCTTAGTCTCATGGAGGATGGCGTCCTTACGTTCTGCTCTTGCAACTATTATTGCAATATCGTCGTCGTCTTCTTCAAGTGGTTCTACTTCTCGCCAGAGGATAGGGTGCATAGTATCATAGAATCGTCGCTTAAGGATTTATTTGGAAATGCTTCCTTTCTTCATTCGGTCCTGATATGTCAATAGATCGGTAGCTACATCTGTAATTCTCTTGACATGCGTTCCATTAACTTATTCGAGCTGGTTGAATTTGTTGTATAGGAGGTCGTTGGTAATAGAGGATTGGAATCGTCCTTTTAGGTAATCAAGTACTGTAGATCCTCTTAATCTCACATTTCCGCCGTAATCCTTATAGCATTGGTGGTATGTATCAGTTGCTTTTCCTTTGCATAATGATCCAATGTATAGTCCAGTTGTAGGATCTTCCACATCTTTCCCTTGCAGGAGGAGATAGTGTATGAGTTCTGTCACCTATCAGTCAAAGGCTTTAGGTTTTAGGTCTTTTCCTTCTCCTGTAAACTTCGCTGGGAGGTGGAGTTTAAACTTAGGAGGTTCAAATGCTGCGGATACCTCCTCTTCTTCAGGCCTAGCCCAAGATTTTCCTCCTCTAAAGGGCCCTCCTCCTGTACTAGCCATGTCTGATTCACTACTGGATTCGGGGTCGATTGGAGGTTCAAAGGCAGGCTTCTTTTCTGGAGTAGAAGGGAATTCTCCTGGAGGTTATGTGTCTTCCGTATTTGCAGGTTCGCCCGGCTCCTTAGCAGAGCGCTGGGGTTGTTTCTTTCTTGTAAGATCTTGTCATAGGATCTGCTTCCCACTCCTGGTCGTCAAAGACTCTATGTTGGATTTGAGATAAAGCCGAATGTGCCTTGATTCTGCTGCTTCTCTCCCCTAGCATTCTGAGGTGGATATCGATAGGTTGATCAGGCCTAAATCTGGGGACAGGTTCTTAACCGCTTGCTGAGGTTAAAAAAATGTAACGTGTTCGCAAGGTGCTAATCACGTTATCGGTAATGGATTCGATAGTTGGCAGGTGGCCTGCTCTTCCAGAGAGGAGGCGAGAGCTGAAAACTAAAGGAGGCTTCAGAGGTGTACTGAGGAACAAAGAAGTAACCGTTCAATCAAGTATATTGAAATACTGTCTGTCGAAGTCTGTCTTTTCTGTCGTAGAAACAGGCGGTCTTTAAATACACAATTCTGTTCATGTCTGGCATGAACGAAATTAATCAAAGGCATCAATCGATACACTTTGGTGAAACTAATTAAGTATCAAGGCTATACTTAAAACAAAACATAAAACAAAACCAAGTATCAAAGCGATACTTAAAACAAAATATAAAACAAAACCAAGTATCAAACGATACTTAAAACAAACCAAGTATCAAAGCGACACTTAAAACAAAACCAAGTATCAAAGTGATACTTAAAACAAAACCAATAACTGAGTACCCGTACCAGTTACAAAAGGTGGTCGTCATTACAACCATCATAGGTCGTCTGACTCCGATCCTTTGTAACTCCATACTCAACCGATAGATTTTCTTTAGATAACTTCCTATTAACTTACAGGAAGCCACTCCACTAGACTGGTAATTAATCCCTCAGTCGGCAATCCTTGGTTGCTCTCTGGTTAGTAGGTTTCAGTAACCATTGTAGTATTGAGAATCACCCCATGGCTACGATGTATTCCGAAACCCAGTTGCAACACTCCGTGAAGTTCATTGGCTTCTTTGGTAGTGTCTTTTGGAGTTCTAGACTCTTCTGGTGTATGTAAATGTATTGGTCTCTAGTAGAGATCCTTTACCATTTGATACCATCTCTTTGTGCAAAATCGTCCTGTTACTTACAGCCCATGCCAAAGGTGTCATGTTTTGAAGCCAAGTAACTCTCTGAGTAGTTGACGGAATTACTCCGTTCCACTTCCCAGGCCTAGCCGAAGGTCCTCTCTCATATATCCTGTGAACAAGATCAGGTTGGACGGACAGCAACGACTTATATGGTGTTATTCTAACACCTTCAATTCTGTGGTAATATAGTCACAGGACGCAACTGAGATTGATATATATGATGACGGGCGGGCCCCGTAAGGGAGCCAGAGGGGGGTGTTGGAGACCAGAAATTCCGATTCCGAGTGGGGTTACCCTACTTAGAGTGGTTCCTAGGTATCGGGTTCTGGTATTCCTAACAGAACCGTGTACTTAAAACTTTTATAGTGAGAGAGGGAGAAAGAGAATTGAGCTGCTTAATAGAACTAGGAACAGGCCCAAAGATCCGCTATTTATGCAGTAAAGTAGCAGCAGGCAGGAACAGTAGAAGCAGGAAATTAGAGTAGAGATTGTAGAAGACAGGAAAAACTAAAATCAGAGGTTGACAGCAGTATGACATGAAGAAACAATAAAACAAGTTAAGCTCGGACAGCTGTGAGCCGAGATTAACCAAAGCAGAAGACTGAGTCAAATCCAACTGTACTTGTACATATCGGAAAGTACTATTCCAACACCCTAAATCCTCCACAGACTGAGTGACCCTCTGTGATGCTACTGGGCTATGGAGGTATTGACCTCCAGTAACTCCCTCCGTTAGTAGCCAAACTCCCCCAACAGCTGGGCGATGGGCTACATTACCCTCTCTGATATCTGGCGAATGTCTGGGTCTAGCAGTCTCTCCTGGAGCCTAATACCATACCTCAGGGTATCCAGCGTGTGGACCAATTACTCCAGGTATTCTAACAGGCTAGGTCCTACCCGGGCCGCAGGCTCCACTAGTATGCTCTGTCCCCCGTCGGCAGCTTGGGGAGTATCCCGGGGGGTACTACCGGAATTGTGCCGCCGCTGCGGGTTCTTTGATACCGGGTGGAGTTCGCCATAAGGGAAGGAGTTGGGAGGAAGGAAAATTCGGCACACCAGCCCTTTCGCTCGTTCCTGAATTTCACTACATTCTGGTGTGTTTATTTTGCCCTTCAATCTTCAAAAAAAAAAAAAGGAACCGTGTCATAGGCTCGTGGAGGCATGGGCTTTAGTAACTCGATGGTGACTCGGCCGGTGGGACTTAAGGCCCCGAGGAGTTGAGCGATTTTTTTCCTCGAACGTGAGGTAGACCGCCGTGTTGAATATGGACGAAGGGATTAATCCTGCGGGAACTTTGCATTCATGAGAGATCACTCGTGGATTGTAGCTGGTGGTGGGGGAATGAGATAACTACCCACGACAATGGGCCACCCGGGTCCGAATTCGGGTTTATATAGGATCGTATGATACATCTATCAATGCCAGTTCTTTTTGAATTTATTGTGATAGTAGCTCCTTGGTTGTGTGTACGAGTAGTTGTGCTACCTATGATGGGTTTGGTTGTGGTGGGGGGTTTACGAGGCTTAAGGTGGACAATTGACATTTGCGGCGACTCAGGAAGGTATCATGGGACGCTGGATGACCACTTCGCTGTCACTAATCCCGGGATCATAGCACCGAAACGAGCTTTAACGCTTAGATATAAATATACTATTAGGGAGGCCAGACCCCGCCGGGCCCTTCGAAACCCCATTGCAAAGGCCCAGCCGACGGTCTTTGGGGTGGAAGGCTATTCCAGCTTTGTTCGGGTACCGGTACTGTACAGTATTGCCCCACCCCTTCCCGTAGGGTCCCTACCAGTGGCGAGATCCTGTTATCATCGTATCATATCATACTCGAGAACCGTAGTGTCCTTGCAGGGTACGAGTACCTTTAGGACTCGTTGCGCGAAGGCCCCAGCCAGTCGGTCAATCCCCCAACGCCACGCCAGCTGCAACACCAGCCGCAACGCCCAGACCAGTCTTTTGCCACAACTAAAACCAGCAACTCCACACGGTACCATAGCAAACCGGACTGTGGCAACCATATTCAACAGGAAAAAAGGAAAAAAAAACCCCTCCAAAAACTCGCTCCACTGAACACCTCTCCCAACCCGACAATAATCGATACTCGTACCGGTACTATGCTGTTTCATACGCGTGAAGATGTGATGACTAAATAAATAAACCTTTTCCTTTTCACATCATCCATCTCCGAGCCACGGCACCTGTACCGTAGCTCATTTAGGGAGGTAATTCCCCGAACAGATAAGCATCCGAACTTTCAGCCCCGAATCATGGAGGATGGGGCGTCATGGCTTAGCCTACCGTATCGCAGTGGACCAAGGACGTAACAGGTACGATAATATTATAGTACTGTACTCATAGCACCGGTGGAGAAAGAAGAAAACGAGAGACTCTCATCGGAAGGTGATGCCAGTAACCGCAGAATACCGTAGAATATGTTCTCACCCATCGCACACCCACTCTCTATCATACGGTACTCATCCTCCCATTCCCCACGCAGACCCACAGCCCAAACCCAAACCCCAAGCTTCAAGTCGGGACCAAACAAGGCCGGTTTCGAATCAATCCGAGCAGGTACCCGGGTTTCATTCTTATTAGCTATCATCTCCATCGGATTCTGCAAGATCCCAACGACTTTTTGTGTCCGCTTTTGTTTTTCCATGATGCCTGGTTGAGTCTCAACATTAGGGATTGTGGAAAGGGAGGGGAAACATGTGATGTGGGGGGGGGGTTCTGCAGCGATAATAGTGGATGAGGATGAGGATGAGGATGATGAAATAAAGTAAAATTCGTTATTTTTTTTTTCCTTCGGGAGACAAGGCGCAGCGCAGTGGGGATTACTCGAGTATCAATGTGTGGTACAAGTAGACTATATGCTAGTCTTTTTTTTTTTTTTTCGGTAGGAAAAGAAAGGGGTCAAGTATGATACAATACTTGTAGAAGGGTACAGTAAACGAGACCGAACTGCTGTAAATGAGACCGAACCGACCAAGCCGCCCAAACCAACCGACCAAACCAAAGCAGATGAAGAGTGCAAAGATAGGGAAATGGTACGCTAATAATTACACACTATCCTCATACCGACCGACTCCCTAATTCCAAAACCCATAATTATGACAGGAAATCGTGATATCGTGAAGAAAAAAAAACACCACCTGCTGCCCACCATCAAAAACTCTGTCCCTCCTCCATGACAATCTCCAATGTGCTAGCAGTGCTAAGTCCACTACCAATTCTACCACACCTCCCGATACTGCTCCTCGAACCTCTAGGTCCCCAACTATTACTCCTCATCTCCTCCGTCGTTCGCCGGATCTTTCTAGACTTTCGTACGCTCCCGGTACTTAAGCTCCTAATCCTTTGTCTTTTCTCTGCTCCTCCCCCTCCCCCACCATCACCCACTCTTCCATCCTCCTCCTGCAAAGCCCTCCATGGTGCTCCAAAAAACCTTGGAATGGTGAATGGTGAACACGCCACCGATGCACCGTCATCATTATCACCCCCCCAATCACCCTCTCTCTTGGTCGGTATCCCGATAGCACCGTAATTATCCACCTTCCTAATTGATGACTGGAACGTATCTAGGCTATTCCTATGCCCGTGTAGTCTCCAGAATTTACTATCACGAGGACGCATCCAGCGGCGATCGTCTGGTTGGCCGTTGCGAAGAACACGACCTTCCCAACCCTTTATTCGCAGGTTGGTTAAAACCCTAGTATAGTGTTCCTCCCGCTGAATGTCGGAAGGTGTTCGGGGAAGATTCAATCTTTTTCGATACCATTCTTCTCATATCAATTAGCGCTCGATCCCTCATATCGAGCGGGGTGGGTGGGGGAAAAAACCTCTAAAAGGAACCACGCGTTTGGTCCTCCATGCACCCCTCCGATGCGTCCTAACAGAGTAATACGTCGGCTCGGCAGCAGACACGCACCACACCCACCCTGTGATGAGCGTGAAGACCAATGCGAAGAAGGAGAATACAAGTATCACTAGGAGGATTCCACTGGTGGAGGGGTTCCCGGGTGTGTAGTAGTCGTCGTTCTCATTGTCTTCACCGGTGTTGCTATTGCCGAGGCTGGAGGTTAACGACAGAGGCGCCATCTCAGCAAGGAGAATGGCATGGAGGGTTTGTTTGCTTTCTCTTCGTTCCCCTCCTCCGTTAAGGATTAACGTTAGATTCCAAGATCCTGAGGTGTTATTGGGATTGGAAAGAAAATATTGGGACGAAAGGCAAAAAGGTGAGGGAAGGAAAGCCGACTGTTTAGCTTTAACCCTCTTTTCCAGAGGGGTGTGGAAAGTCTCAGAATTCTACCCCACACCCATTCTTTTTATTCCCGCTGGAGAAAAAGCAAAAAAACCAATTGTTTCTTTTGTTTTTTCAACTCGAAAGGGGGGTTTACCTATTGTGGATTGCGGGGCTAAGTTAGTCAATTGGGTTGCCAATTACTCCGACAAGATGAAACTTTGAAGACTCTATGTGGAAGATCGGGCCACTCTTGGGGGTAAAGATGCAGGCTTGGCGTCGTGGGCTGGGAATGGTCAAGAACCGCTCGGTAGTGGATAATTCCCTTCGCTGTGTCCAGCTCGATGTGAGAGGTACCGTACATCCTCGAGCGCAGAGGGAATAGAACAGGGATTGTTTGAATGGGTGGTCTCGTGAGGTTATAAGTCATGACATTGGTCTACGATTTCAAGAGATGCGCTCCGTTTGACACGCTGGAGAAAGGTCTCGCGCGTCCTGGCCTGAGCTTTGTTTTTCTCTCAAGCCGTACTGTACCTGCTAGCTTCCTGTGATACGGTAGCTTGAGGAGGCAAGTGCAGTACTCGAGCACAGTTGCGACGTTCCACCCACTCTGGTCCTACCGGTATTGAGGTCCCGGGTGTTCAGCGCTGTGATATCCAAAACTCATCGTGCGCACGGAGAAACTCGTCTGAACGGATAAGCTGCAGTACTGGTACCGGTAAGGCTGATAACAACCCGAGCCCGTGCAAAGATCAGTGGGGGGCTATGGGTGCTTTGTGGAGGAGCATAAGTTGAGGGTGACATTTCGTGATCCAGATTGATACCGGAGGTCCGGATCGGGTTATGGCACAATGTTTCCCTGCACACCCAGCATAACGAGTATCATACCGGCTTACAAAATTCTTTGAACTACGGTTCACAACCGCGCAACCCATGAAGGGCAGGCCAACAGGTGGTGGGTGCTCGCTACGCCAAGGGTTCACCTCGTAGGGAAACATTGGAGCTTTGCGGATTGACGTGGGTCGTCGTGGGAAAGGGGGAGGCTGAGGATTGATTTGGTTACAATACAATAACGTTGGAAGTGCTTTACCAATTTCTACTAAACGAAATGAAAGGTGTGATCATTCGATCCAAGAAAAAAATGAATCAAATAGGGAGGAAAATACGACTGAGCGGGGTGGGGGAAAACAGGATGCAAAGAAACAGCACAGCAAGATTCACCATCGATACCGTGCCACCCAAGATCAGATCACCATTCAGAATACTTGATACTGGAGCACAGTATATGAGACGGCCAATTAGATCGTATCAAACTTTTGAGATAAGTTGTACAGCCGGCCTTGCGCCTGCAGCCCCGTAATGCCCGTCTCCGGGTAAGATGAAGATCACTGGAAGCTTTTTTCGTGTTTTCCACCAAGCCAGAGATATCTGCCGACAACGCTTTCCTCCTTTAATTTTTTCCTTTCTTCTGTCAATTCCACCCGCACGTCCACATCTGCCCTGCAAAGGGCCGTGTCGCGGTTCTTGGCGGTCTCGTTCTCACCAATTGTGTGATGAACACCAATTTCTACTCGATGGCGGAGGTCATCTTTACCTTCGGCAAGGGCTACATTCTGCACGAGGAAAGTGGGACGACCGTTCAGAGGGATGGATGGCCATCCTCTTCAACCAGGGGACTATTTCACCGTTGCTGTCGGTTCCCTCACCGTCAATAATGAGCCTTGGCTGGTCTGTACGACCTCACTTGTTACCAGAACTCGTGCCGGAAAGTTTCGTACTGCCGTGAGAGAGACCGGGGTGTGTTATAACGGGAAAACGCACAATGGATACCGGGTATAGGAGCCGGCGGAGTTTCGAGGCTTTCCATACCTTTCCACTGCCGTACGGAGTGCACTAGAATGGTCACAACCATGGTGGCTAGATCACCATGCCACCGGAGTCTGGAGGATCCCTTCGTTTGTGTCGAGGGAACTACGGTCGAGACCGTCTTCTACCCAAAAGGACCATAACGCCTCCTATTCAAGTAAATACCCCGCAGATGCTGGGTCAGAGACATTTACTGGCCGGGTCACCTTCCGAAGACCCCAGCCGTACCACTTCAAGCCAAGTATTCCTCCACCTTTGGAACTCAAGTTCCGTGAAATTCGCCATACGAACGAAGGGATGTATCAACCTAGTTCAGAATGGGATGTTGCTCAAGGCCGAACTACATATCCTTTTTGACAACTACAATGTGTCAATCAACCCGGATATATATATGACTCCTTATTACCTCCCTACAGTGATGGAAGTGCCGATCCCCCTCACACTGTATCGGGCTTCGGGCTGGTATCCTAAATCTTACCGCAATTGTAGTACTTTCATGAATTTACGCTAGTTTTGTGCATTATATATGCATGGATTAGTTGCAACATGTGGGGTCACTTGCGCGGGAGCTTAGCAACCTGACATCCCTGGTGTTCAAGGTTGCGAAAACATCTATTATCTATTGGGCACTTCTGCGGCTTCAATAGACTCCCAGAAGTACCCACTCATTTCTCGTCTCCAGTTTTTCTCCTGTCCTTCTGGTCGTTGCCTCCATCTCCTAGTTCGTTCATAGATACTTTCTTTCTGCCCCCCCCCCTTCCCGGCATGTCCATGAAATGTCAACCAGATATGCGTCCCGCGCGTGAGATGCCTGTCCCCCTGTTCCTACATAGCCACCCTGTTACGGTATTCCCGGCCTATGGGTTTAGATCCAAAGAATATATGATAGAAGTGAAACTTTTTTTGCCATCCTACTTCCCAGACCACAAACAACACTTTCAAGATTTGCTCGTTCCGTATGGAGGTGGCGTTTGAGTAGCCCCAGATTAAGACAAAGGGAGAATAAAAGAGCGCCGAACCTCACCAGCCAAGACTGCGCCAAAGTCCTAGCGTGAGGTGAATTATTCGGGTTCATACGGCACTGCAGGCATGGCAATGTGGTGTGAGGACCGTACAGTGAGAGAACTGTGCTCTGGCTTTCGGAAATGGGAACCTACGGAAGGGGTGAGGACAGGTCAATGGTGGAAAAGGTGGAGATTGGCTTGTTCCGCGTCATGGAATATCACCCGTCCCAGTGCGCCGGATGAGGTCGTTAGGTAAACCGACACCTTCCCACTGCACAACAAGCCCCAAGACCGAGTAACAGGCAAAGCAGTGCCTGGCCACAAGCGACGAGAGAACGCGAGCGATCGAACCTCACGCGGAGGGCAGAAGCTATCGAGCAACCGCCAGTGAAACAACAGGTATCCCAAGAGATTCTCGGACTACATTGGTTGATTTCGCTCGGGTGGCTGGTGTGGAGCGCAAAGCTCCAACTGTTGGTAGAATATCTATGCTACGCCAATAGTCTTGTGGGCTGGCTACCACACTCACCTGACCTCGATCCAATAAAGAGCTTCTAGCACCGCTCGAACACAAGCATTGGGAGGGCAATCTGGGAGGGGGCAGAGCGTACCAAACAATGAGAAGGAGGAGGAGGAGGAGTTAATTTGTTTGGCACCGGAAGTATGGGAAGGGCTTTCGTGGAAGCGTATTTATAGCTACACAAATGTTATGTCTCAGCGGATTGTGACTCGTGCCCGAAGCGATGGCGGGGCCAACTCAATGGTAGAGTGAAATTCAGTTCTCATTGTCTTTCATTTTTATAATATCTCCGGGATCCCATCTTCGCCCACTTTGCCAGGCTTCTAGCTCACAAAAATAGCAGGAAAAATCCAGAGTTTTTTTATTCACGCCAGATACCCAAAGCGGCGGTCCCTGTACGGAAAAGATATGATTTTGATTTTTAAGGGCTGGCTGAGCATGGCGGATCGCTGCGGAAAGCGGCAGCAAGGTCAGAGTTCCGAACGTCGGGATCGCAAATGAAACAGCGAGTGCTGTCCTTGAACGGAGCCTGTGCTCGTTAAGCCCCATACTAGCACAGCCTCACATGAGCCGCCACATGGACTTGAGGCCCCTGTCCTGAGGATGATCAATTTACACAGTGCTTAGGGTAAGGTACTGTACTCGTATTACATACACACCAAAGCTTGGTGGTTAGGAAGGTTAAAAATTGCCGAACATCCGCTCGTGTTCACAAATTTATGCATCAGATCAGCGATTGCTTTTGACAACGATGGATACGGTGCTCGAGCAGGGGGTCGGTCATCTTGAGAGGTGCTTCCGGACTCGTTTCAATGCCGAATTCTTGGATACCGGCACCGGTATGTGGTCTGATAGAGAACATGATACGTACAGTACTATACTCGTATCATATGCTGGGTTAAACCAAGGAAGAAGAAAAAAAAAAAAAAGGTCAAGTGTTAGATTTATGAAAATACGAGTGATCCAGATGCACTGTGACACAGAGTGTGCGTGCGTGCCGGAACTTCCATCCCCGGTTCAATGGAAAGGGTCCAAAAATGTTCTAAAATAAACAAAAATAATTAAAAAAAAAACGAATAGAATGCAGCAAGCAAGGAAGAATCCTCTCCCGCATTATTGTGTCAGCCTTAATTGTATCCAGTTTCTTCTTCCTCCATAGAAGCTCGGTCAATTTAATTATCGCAGGTGTTATCGTAGCCCAGAGTAGCCCGCGGACCACCAATACCGGCGGTATGATACTGGAACATCAGGTGTGCTTGAAATCGTCGTGCCGACCGTTTTTTCTTCTTCTTCTTTTCTTTTTGCGTAATATTTATTTATTTCTATGAAAGGGACTTGGGCAAAAAGGTGAATGCATTGCACAGTGTGGCATAAGCAGGAACCCTTCAGCTTACAACAGCTAAACGGGGGAAGGCGTCTACTCGAGTACTGTACTCGTACTAGGAGCTGACAAGGGGGGAACTCCTGAGAAGGAGAGAGAGTTACAGTACAGTACTTGTACAAGTACTTCAGCTATCCGGCACCCACCTTTAAGTGACCTCCAACTGGGAGAAGTGATCCTCACTCTGATCTTCGCTTCATCTTTGCATTTTCCTCCTCCTCCTCCTTCGAGAGAAGAGGTGGTGTTCCCGTCCTCAAGAGAACCTCATCCTTTTCGTTCGATTTTCGACTTCGCTTTCGGACACGGTGTCTAATCTACAGCTATCCTGACGTCAATCCTTATTGGCCCTCCTTCCCTTTCTCTTTGTCTGACGTCCGTATGGTCTGCGGTTGTCAGGGTTGCTTTTTATCTTGGAGGTGTTAGGGAGTCCCTGCAATAATTTCTCGGCAGGCGAGCTGCACCGAACGTTTGTTACTGGTCCCTGGAGAAGAAGCTTGGTCCGCCGCGTCTTCCCCTTTTCTTCTTTTTCTTACCCACGCATTTACAGCACCGATATCCCTTTCCCAAGAGCCTCCTCATAACCTCACTCAAGCAGCTAGAGGTCCCCCCCAAAAAAAAAATCGTGAAAATTCCTCCTCCTCCGCTTTCTTTCTCTTCCGGTTCACTCCCTTTCATTCGTAATCACCGCCGCATGCATTCTCTGTCCCGATGATGTCCAGGCACTCTCACTCTTACTCCAACGGCCATGCCTACGGACCAAGCAATACATTCTCTATTTCACCACATAGGTACTACATACCCACCATTTTCACCGGTCAAACTTTGCTTATTTGTCATTTAAAAAAAATTAAAAACATTCAGATTTCAGCCCCGCACACAACCTGCGCTACGATGGCGACGGAAGATTCTCTTTAGGATATGCTCGATTTCTGCCGTCGCCGCCGTGATATTACTCCTCATCTTCCCCTCGTTCCGACAGGTCCTCCTCCCGTCGCTGGGCCTGTCAGCGCTTTTGCAAGACGATCCCTCGATATCTACTGTCAAGCACTATGATCTCTCCAACGTGCAGGGGACCTCCCGCGGCTGGGAGAAGGATGAGAGAATACTCATGTGTGTGCCACTGCGTGATGCTGAGGTCCATCTCCCCATGTTCTTCTCGCACTTGCGTAATTTCACGTACCCTCATCGCCTGATTGACCTTGCGTTTCTGGTGTCCGACTCGAAGGATCACACCTTGACGTTACTCAAAGAGCATCTGGAAAAGGTGCAGGCTGACCCCGATCCGCTCCAGCCCTTTGGGGAGATTTCTGTGATTGAGAAGGATTTTGGGCAGAAGGTTCAACAAGATGTTGAGAATAGGCACGGTTTCGCTGCGCAAGCGGGCCGTAGGAAAACCATGGCACAGGCCCGGAATTGGCTCTTGAGTGCTACGTTGAAGCCTTACCATTCGTGGGTTTATTGGAGGGATGCCGATGTGGAAACTGCTCCACCAACTATCCTGGAGGACCTGATGAGACACAACAAAGACGTCATTGTTCCGAGTAAGTCTTCCTATGGCCTTAGCTCAGTGCTACAGTCTACGCCGTCACAAGTAATGCGGACTCACATACCTGCTACTTGAGAGGATTCAATTCCTATAACCAATCACCACATCTATGCCTGGTTACCCTACCTTTCACACATGCCAAGAATGCTAATAATATGATTCTAATATAGATGTCTGGCGACCGCTTCCTGACTGGCTTGGAGGCGAACAACCCTATGATCTCAATTCCTGGCAAGAGTCGGAGACCGCCCTTGCGCTTGCTGAGACACTTGATGAAGATGCTGTCATCGTTGAGGGATATGCTGAATACGCCACCTGGAGACCTCATCTTGCCTATCTCCGTGATCCATATGGTGATCCTGATGTTGAGCTGGAGATTGATGGAGTCGGAGGTGTCAGTATTCTTGCGAAAGCACGTGTGTTCCGAGCCGGCGCCCATTTCCCTGCATTCTCCTTCGAGAAGCATGCCGAGACTGAGGGTTTTGGAAAGGTTAGCGGCCCATGCCTTTCAACCTGATTCTTCTTACTAACTTCTCAATAGATGGCAAAACGCATGAGGTTCTCGGTTGTTGGGCTCCCACATTACACTATCTGGCATCTTTATGAACCTTCAGCAGACGATCTTAAACACATGGAACGCATGGAGGAAGAGAGAATCGAGAAGGAGGCTAGGGAGAAGGAGGAGACTGAGCGCGCAAAGAGAGTTAGCGAGAGCTGGCAAGATAAGAAGGGCGAGTGGGAGCAAGATAAGAGGGAAATTCAAAACAAGGCCTTAGAAAAGAGCAGGGAGCGAAGGGAGCGAAAGGAGCGCGGAGAGCGGAAAATTCTCGGAGGGAGTGAGCAAGGACCGCATGCACATGCCGGTGAGGAGGAGGCAGAAGTAAAGAAGGGAGATGGGGAGAGCAATGTAAGTCTCCGAATCTAGCTGGTTTGTTTGATCGTTTGTTGGTGGTCCACGGATCCGTACTAATCTTCACAGGCCGAGGCAAACGGCATTGATGCTGCGGATGGTGCATAGGTGTCAGAATATCTTCATTAGGGCCAGCTTAGATCGGGTGTCAGTGGGTATTTTTTGTGTACTGGCGTGAAACGATGTATCTTTGGTTTGCTTACCTTTGCTTTTTCCTTGAAAAAAAAAAGAAGGGGGGTCATTTTCTGCCTTTATTGTATCTCATTGCAATTGCACCTTTTCCCTTTTTTCCTTTCCCCCCTTTCTTTTCCACTGGACAGAGAGGGGGGGAGGGGTCCAGTGGTCACGGACCATGGGATATCAAAATATATTTCAAAGTACTAGTAGTGTTTATTTTCCTTTTCTCTTGTTTCCTTTCTTTTCCCTTTGTTTGTTTATTTAGATGGTCGGGTTCGGTTGAAATAATGGGGTTATGAAGAATTTATATAAAAAAAACCCCGAGAGGAACTAGATGATTACTCAGGCTCATGAGTACTGGAAACTTTGTTGGGGTCGGCATCTGAGCTTGGTTATGAGTGATTGCTTCCAACGGCTATCGTTATCTCCGTAGTGGGTATAAGTCATAGTGCTTATACGCTTGCGGTTGCACCCAGGGGCTTAATTGTGAGCAATCCACCTTTTTGTTCTGGCGGATGGACCACTTTGGAATACTGTACAGCGATGGTTTCCAAGTTGCTTGATCATTGACATCTGCTCATGCCTCGTGTATGTCTAGGTGGTCGGTTGAAAATCACACTTTCTTCCAGAATCCATCATCCATTCCCCTCCCCCCCTTTGGGGGGGGGGCTTTCATTGCTATCATCTATTCATCTGTCCACACAAGATGGCTAACGTGGCTCGATTATCCAAGTTATGGCTCCCACCGTTCCAGAGCAAGAATATGATTTCAAGGGAGGGGGTGTTATGAACCAGCCCACATAAGGTATGGTAGATTATCTCGAAGTTTAGGGGGGTAGCAGTACGCAAACCACTCCGTGCCAAGGGAGGGGGCTACAGACCCCCTATCGCTTCTGGTATGATACTAAGTCTCCTGGGGCGGGGTTGCGTGGGGAGGTATCATATGATATGTCGGAGATTGGGGTATCATACCGATAAGGGTCCCGGAATACACGGAACTGAGGCTAATGTTGCTATGGGTTGATGCTTCCAAGCGCCCGGGGTAACTTACCGTATTGTATCCGAAGACGGAGGTTCGTCCTCTGGGAATATTGGGTAATGACGGGTCCTCGCGGTACTTTTGCTATCGGTTACTCATGCCGGTCGTGTGTAGGGCCCTGTGGTCCCGTACATTACGTGCTGGGAACCCTCGCGGGCTCTCCCCGTCCGTCTGGGGAGCCGTTTCAAACATTATACAAGTACCGCCGCCTATCCCACCCGGATCGGACACCCGAGTTGACTGCCGGGAACAATCTTCTGACATCAGGTTTCGGGACCACCCTGTCACTGTGTTTACTGGTAACTCCCTGATGATGTTCAGTCAGTTTCAACACTAGCACCATTGACTAAAGGCGGTATCTTCAACGCATTGATCATTGATAGATGAGGGTGGCTCAGTACAGTAGGGATGACTTGTGTCCGTCAAGGTTCGGAAATTTTTTGAAAGGCACTCTGGGCACTACGGGGGGGGGGGTTGTGTCCTGATAGTATCATATTATTCAATTGGCATAAAGTACGGTAATGCACGAGAAGACCGCTGGGGTTGCCCTTGCATTGCACAAGTGATTGCATTGGAAAACGGTAGCGGTAGGGTAAATCTAGGTTCTATTAAATTCGACGACGTTAACTTGCCCCTTGGGTATCCCGACATTGCCACTGCCTCCAATAATAATACTGTATCATACAAAATTCAATAAGAAAATCTTTCGTTGCCTCTGAATCTGTTTCTGTACTGCTCGCCACTTGTTCTGCCGCATTACTCAGCCGCCCCGTGCCACCCCGGCCCACGGTGAAACCTACAAGCAATGTAGGGTAGGGGACTGGGCTGTGAGTGGAACCTATGATATGACACCGTAATTTCAGTGGGAAACCAAACATGGGGCAGACATGAGGCCCGACTGGGAAAAAGCGCCTCGAACAACCGGATCCGAAGGGTGCAGCTCCCACTGTGGTAGTTACTCGAGTACAAGTATGACCAGGCACACATATCTCGTATCATAATATCATATCCCGCTATCATAGACCACTGTATGTAAAACCCAAAGTGGGAAACGGGTCAGAAGAGAGAACCCCCAGCGTCGCCGGCGGGAGTCCTGCCTACGTGCTTACCCGTCCTGCATAGCCAATTACAATAGCATAGGGACTCGAGAGCTTAAAGGAGGTTAGAGCGCTGCTCACGGGTATCCTCGCTTGCCGGGCATAATGGGGCAGAGAGGGGGGAGGAAAGGGATCTGGTCCCAGCTT